ACGATTCAGTGGGCAAGGAATTTTGGATATAACGTGATGCTCAAAGAATGGGAAAATATGTGGACGAAGGGTTTAAAATTCACATTAAATTATAATCTAAAAGAAAAAATTTACAAGATGATGACATAAATGCCGTTGGTATTTAACACCCAATAAGTTATCTAAGACCTACAAAGGTATGTCAAATGAATGCTGGAAGTGTAAAAGTAAAGAGAGGACCTTTTATCATACAGGTGAAACTCGAAAAATTAGAATATCGTGCTAAAGTTCATTTATTTCATTGATGCAACTTAAAAGGTGAAACTAATATATGAGATAGACTCATTACATGCAAAGCAAGATAGTTCAAGCCGTGATTTGTCATAATTGTGATGATTATGGCTTACAGCTCATGAAAACCCCAAATCCACAATCTCAGAAAATTAGAATATTACAGGCAATCAATAAAACAAGGATTGTACATAGAACAATACTGGATCTCTGAAAAGTATAACCATGCATATGTACTCAGTACTTGGTTTGGGCCCCTTTTGCAGCAATTACTGCCTCAATGCAGCGTGGCATGGAAGCTATCAGTCTGTGGCACTGCTGAGGTGTTATGGAAGACCAGGATGCTTCAATAGCGGCCTTCAGCTCTTCTGCATTGTTCGGTCTCATGTCTCTCATATTTCTCTTGACAATGCCCCATAGATTCTCTATGGGGTTCAGGTCAGGCGAGTTTGCTGGCCAATCAAGCACAGAAATCCCACGGTCATTGAACCAGGTTTTGGTGCTTTGGGCAGTGTAGGCAGGTGCCAAGTCCTGCTGGAAAATGAAGTCAGCATCCCCATAAAGCTTGTCTGCGGAAGGAAGCATGAAGTGCTCCAAAATCTCCTGGTAGACAGCTGTGTTGACCCTGGACTTAATGAAGCACAGTGGACCAAAACCAGCAGATGACATGGCTCCCCAAATCAACACAGACTGTGGAAACTTCACACTGGACTTCAAGCATTTTGCAGTGTGTGCCTCCCCATTCTTCCTCCAGACTCTGGGTCCTTGGTTTCCAAATGAGATGCAAAAGTTGCTCTCATCATAAAAGAGGACTTTGGACCACTGAGCAACAGACCAGTTCTTTTTTTCTTTGGCCCAGGTAAGACGCTTCTGACATTGTTTGTTGTTCAGGAGTGGCTTGACAAGAGGAATATGACATTTGAAGCCCATATCCAGGATCCATCTGTGTGTAGTGGCTCTTGGTGCACTGACTTCAGCCTCAGTCCACTCCTTGTGAAAGTCCCCAGCACTTTTGAATGGCCTTTTCCTGACAATCCTCTCGGCTGCAGTAATCTCTGCTGCTTGTGCACTTTTTCTTCCACACTTTTCCCTTCCACATAACTTTCTATTAATGTGCTTTGATACAGCACTTTGAGAACATCCAACTTCATTTGCAATTACCTTTTGAGGCTTTCCCTCCCTATGGAGGGTGTCAATAATGGTTTTCTGCACAACTGTCAGGTCAGCGGTCTTTCCCATGATTGTGATTCCTACTGAACCTGACTGAGAGACCATTTAAAGGCTCAGGAGCCCTTTGCAGGTGTTATGGCTTAATTAGCTGATTAGAGTGGGACACTTTGAGCCTAGAACATTGAACCTTTTCACAATATTCTAATTTTCTGAGATTGTGGATTTGGGGTTTTCATGAGCTGTAAGCCAATCATCATCTCAATTATGACACATCACTGCTTGAACTATCTTGCTTTGCATATCATGAGTCTATCTCATATATTACTTTCACCTTTTAAGTTGCATTACTGAAATAAATGAACTTTTGCACGATATTCTAATTTTTCAAGTTTCACCTGTATATAGTGGACATGTGATAAAGCAAAAAAAAAAATTGGAGTTCGATTCATATTTTAATACAAAAATTTCTGAAAACAGAGATAAAAATGAAACCAGAGCTTTTCCTTTAGAGTTTAATGGAAAAAGAACTAGAGAAAAAAATGGAACTTTGTTACTATTATGTTGACAGCAGTGAGACTATTGTATGCACAAAAATGAAAGGATACTTCGATTCCAACTATGGATGAAGGGTTGCAGAAATTGATGGAGTTGGCTGAAATGGCAAAACTGACCACTTTGATTAAAGAAAAGAACATAAGTACTTTTTTTTCCACATAGAGGCCACTTCTGAACTTGGTGCTTGATGTAGAAAAGAATGAAACTCTGACTTTGGATTAGACTGTTAGATCTTTACAGAAATTACGTTGCGATTTGATGTTAAGGCTTTATTTTACTGTAGCACAAAGTTGTAAGTCAAGGCTTCTTTTACTTTCTCTTATTATCTTCTCCTCACTTCCCCTTCCCCTCCCCACAGCTTTCCTCTTTACTTTGTATTTTGTATTTTATTTTACTTTATTATAACTCAATAAAAATGTTAACTGGGGGGGGGGGGGAAGTCGGGCTCAACAGTGGTTGTAAGTCAAGGACTACCTGTATTAAAGACTGACTAGATGACCTTCAAGGTCCCTTCCAACTCTGTTATTCTATGTTCAACCAGCTGTTTATTTATAGCAGAGGTCTCCAAACTTGGCAACTTTAAGACTCGTGGTCTTCAACTCCCAGAATTCTCCATCCAGCTATGTTATGCTGGAGAATTCTGAGAGTTGAAGTCCACAAGTCTTAAAGTTGCCAAGTTTGGAGACCTCTGCTTTATAGCATCTTGATAAGATCTGCTGATACAAAGATGAAGCAAAGGCTATCTTCTATTGAGAATAACAACTGCAGGTGGATCCAGGGTCTGTGGCTCCTAAAGACGGTGGTGGATCCATCCATCCCAAGGGTCTTCACACTTGGCAAGTTTAACACTTGTGGACTTCAGCTCCCAGAATTCCTGAGCTAACATGACTGGAGGAGGAATTATGGGAGTTGAAGTCCACAAGTCTTAAAGCTGTCAAGTTTGAAGACCCCCTGATTTATAGCCTTCCCGGGCAGAGAAAGAAGCCAAGCCAAGCCTTCAGGTCCCCAATTCTGAGGGAAAGCCCCATTTGTCATTTTTACAAACAGACGGCGGAGATTACCGAACGGGCCGCAGGATTACTCTGCCCCCAACTCGCTCCGCCACCTGCTGCCCGAGGGTTTCCGAAGGGAAGCCTCCCTCGCTCTTCCCCCCCCCCCCCCCCCCCGCATCCGCCGGCTGCTCGATCTCCACCGCTGGCGCAATGACCACGTGCGCTCCGCAACGCGTCATTCTCCCTATGTAAACAAGGGGGCGGCGCTATGCTAATGAAGACCCCGCTCTTTCTCGAAAGTAATCGGGACTCCCGCTTCGGGTGTCCTCGGGAAGGGGGATGGGGGAAGAGGGGGATGGTGGCGGGCGATTAATAAACTTCCCCCCAATAAATCACTCGCGTCTCTCTCTCTCTCCGCCCGCAGTCCTAGAGGGAAGGGAAGGGAGGCTGCTGGGCTGGCGTCCAGGAAGGGCGCGTCGGGTCCCGTCCCGTCTTATTCCCGTCCCCTCAGATCCTGCAGGCAGTCGCAAATCCTCCGCTTGGCCAAACCGCTCTGAGAAGCAAAATCCCCGCGGCGGCGGCGAAGCAATGCAGCAAACAGCGCTCCTGCGGCCGGTGCCGGCGGCGAGGACGCGCTTCGCTCGCTCCCTCTAAGCGCCCCCCCTCCTCCTCCCCCCAGCCTCGGGCTTGAGAGATGCCAGCCCGGGCAACCCACGTGCTGTCGAGAGCCACAGCCGGCTCGGAGCGTCGGTTCTTCGCCTCGTTGCCTTTGCTGCCGTTTCGTCCCGGCTGGGAGCCGATCGTTTTTTCCTGCCGGGGTTGCTGGAAGCGATCGCCGTTGAGTTCTCTCAGCCATCGGCTACTTCGCCTTCCGCAAAGCGGACTTAGGGCAACAAGCCGGCCACGTTCTTTGCGCGGTTGTCCCGGGAGGGTCGCCGAGTTGCCGGCTCATCCAGAGGTCGTCGAGATCGCCAATCTGTCAACGCCGGGAGGTTGGGGAGCATCTGGGAGGTAGACCCTTCCCCCCCCCCCCCCCCCTTTTTTTTTTTTTTTTTTTGCAAGGTCACTGAAGAAGAGAAGGAGAAAGGGCTGGCGCTCTTCGCACGCATGCCCTCGCCTGACTCGGGCTGACGGGTTGCGGCGCTTTGCTGCCGGAGAGGCACTCCGACCGCGGCGGCATATCCGACCGCGCAGAGCCCCAGATCCGCCCGCAATCCAGGGACAGCCGACGGAAAGTTGTGCGCCTCTGCAGCGCCTGGAAACGCAGCAAGAGGAAGCTTCCTCTCGGCCGGGAGAAGGCTTGGCAACTCCGGGCGGGCGGGCGAGCGAGCGAGCTTCTCCCGGGATCCCATCCCAGGCTAGGAAATCTCTTGCCTGGGCCTCCCGGGCTGCAGCCCCGAAGGGTGGGCCAGCCGGGGTGGGGAGTGTGGGGAGAGGCACCCTGCTGCCAATCTTGGGAAGGAGCGCGGCCCCCGTTTCCTAGGCAGGAAAAGGGGAGGGATGAAGGCGGCGATGGCTCCGGGGACGCCACGGAAGAGCGGGGCTCCTTTTCCCGCGTGGCGCGGCGCGGCTTCCCGTGAGACTAAAGCGGCGGGGACGGCGCGGACTCCGTGCCCGACGGTGCTTTGAAACGCTCGCCCTGCTGGTGGGAAGTGCACACAGGACGCTGCCCGAGTGACCAAAGTTTGGCCGAGTCTCCCGGCTCTTTTTCCAAGTGTTCCGCGGATCCCGAAGCAGCCCCCTTGGACTCGGAGCCGAGGCAAGCCATGCCCGGGGGGGAACCCGATCGCGCCCTGCACGGTTACCGCTCCTGAGGGCGACCTGGCCTCTGCCCCGGGCTGCCAGCGGCAATGGAAGGGCGTCGGGACAACCGCGCGCTGCGGAGGCGGCTTTGAAAGTTGGGCGCGCTCGTCCCTTTCTCTGCCGGCCGCGGTCCCGAGAAGGAAGGAGCACCCGAGCGGGAACGGTGGAGAGAGGGATCGGCGGCTGAGGCCTCGTCTCCCGCTGCCCAGGATGGGAGACGGATTGCCGGAGCCGGCCCGAGCTGCCAAACCTTCCCCCGCCGTGGCCGCCTGCTCCGAGGCAGAAGCGATCGAAGTCTTGGAGAGCGCGGAGGAGGAGGGCTTTCCCGGCGCTGCAGAGGACGTAAGTGCCGACGGGGGTCGCTCGCCCCTCCGGGGGCTTCGAGCTCTTGAAAAGGAAACCTTAGCATCCCAGAGAGGGAATTTTGATTTCTTTCTTTGATTTGATTTTTCAATAGCAAGAGAAAGTCGGAAGATACTTCCCGGAATGTTTGGGGGTTTCCTGAGCTAGGTTGCCGGGGAAGTAGCCTCGCTCAATTCACCAGTCGGAAAGTGCACAGGACCAGAGGGGTTTTTTTTAGCCGGGGTGGGGAAGAGGGATTTCTTTCCTCCTCTCCCTTTTCAATCTCTGGGACGCTGAATAAGAAATACAATGGCCAGTGGTGTTTCCCCTTCCCATTAAAAGCATATTTCGCCTTTCGCAACCTGGTGCTTCTGAATATGTTGAACAGCACAACAGCCACCCTGGAGATTATGGAAGTTGAAGTCCTTTTGCAACCGGAGGCACCAGGTTAGGAAAAGCTAGTAAAAAAAAACAAAAAACAGATGCATTTCTTGGTTTTAATGATGAGGCTTAAGAAGCGCTTTTTAAATTGAATGTATCTTTTCTCTCAAATGCTTGTTACTAACAACAGCCTAAAATAGTCAGAAGTGTTTCTCAAACCAGGCAACTTCCAGATGTGTGGTCTTTCAGAACTCCCCTGTCAGCATTGAATTGCTAAAAATTCATTGGTTGGGAAATACCCGTCTGGGCCATAGAAAGATAGACTGGCTGCAATTATATATGTGCAGGAGTGGCGGTTATTGGCCTGCATCTCAACAACTGAGTTAAAATTGAATGAGCAATTGCAATAAAAAAAGGACAGAATGTCAACACATCTCATATACTGGGACCATTTTGGCCTCACACATGGCTCTTACTGAGCCGCACAACACGTTGGATGATCTTTGCCCATCCCATCTCTTAGGCTCACCTACTTGTCTTGCAGGGTTGCTTTGAGGACCAAACAGGTTCCGTAAATCGCTTACTTAGAGAGATTTCATAGAAAAATAGAATGGCAGTTGGCTTCATTCATCATGGAAATTCATACTTTGCTTGGAGGGATCTGATACGTGAACCCAACCATAATAATTTATTCAACAAAGCAGGGTTAAAACAGACATACTTTAATGTCATGTGTAAACCCTGCTAAACCAGTGTTTCAATCTTCTAGACTATTGTTACTTCCTACTTCAATGCTGGATAATTGCTTCAGGCTTATCACGCATTGCCACTCTGCCTCTCTGGCTGAATGACTGCTTCCTGTTGTACATTGCATTAATGTCCTTCCCTTAACTTACTCTGGTTGATGACATGAGAACATTAATATGTAACATGATACAGTATAATTTGGAAGGACTTCTGAAACAAGTTCTGAATTCTTTAGAACAGTGGTTTTCAATATTTTTTTCAGTGTGGGCCCCATTTAAATACCTTTTGTGGCCATGGACCATGGTCCATGGAACCCCAAGACTTAAGTCAAGATTTATATCATAACATTTTTTTCAAGCCTTCCTGGATCCTCTGTGATGACATTGCACCCCCTCCCCCCACCAAGGGTCTGCAGACCACACATTGAGAACCACTCCTTTAGGGAATTCCCAATATAATTGTATTGATTTCACTGCAAGCCATAACTGCAAACTACTATGACGTGTGCAGTGACATCATGATGCAAACCTCAGTCTTTCATACTTGTGTTCTGATATCAGTACTGAAACGAAGGGGTTTGTGTCATGATGTGTGCTTTTATCACTTCTCTCCCCCAACATGTATGCCAGAGCTACAGGTTATTACTCTCATCTCTGCCAATTTATTTATTCCTTAGTTAATGTTAACATTGACAAATGTATCTTTTCTTTTATGTACACTGAGAGCACATGCACCAAGACAAATTCCTTGTGTGTCCAATCACACTTGGCCAA